CTGCGCCCTGGCGCGGGCCGGGCTGCGCCTCCTCTTCAGCTCCTGCCAGGAGGAGACGGCCGCGCTGCTGCGGGACCTGGCGTGGGCCGAGTGCAGGGGGGACGCGGCCCCGGCGCTGCCGCCGGCCATCGAGGGGCACCGCCAGGAAACCCTCAACTTCTACCTGACCATCCCCGACCTGGGCTACCCAGCCGCCCTCAACATGTGCCACCGCTTCCCCTCCGTGCGGGCCATGGCCAACAGGTACCAGCGGGGGCTGGGGCTGCCACCGGGACCCTCCCTGCGCCCCGAGGGGCTGCTGGTGAGGGGTCCCCATCTCAAAAGTGTCCCCACAGAGATGTCCCTGCCAAGATGTCCCCATTGATGTGTCCCCATCTCAAGGTGTCCCCATCTCAGGGTGTCCTTGCTGAGATGTCCCCACGGACGTGTCCCCATCTCGAGGTGTCCCCACTGAGGTGTCCCTGCTCTGTTCTCTTCCAGCTCCCCCTCGGCCCTTGCCGCCGGTGCCCAGCTCAGCCTGCGGAAGGCGGAGCAGATCCACCGCTACCTCCACCACCCCTTCGACACGCAGCTGCTGCCCGAGAGCCCCGGCCCCGGGGGCAGAGGCCCTGCCCGGAGCTGAGCGGGGACACAGGCCTTGGCTGCTCACTGCACTTTAACGGCTTTTCCTCCACTGTAAAATGTGTAAATAAATCCTTGCAGAGAGCTGAGGGCTTGGGGACGCTGCGGCCGCGCTCTGCCGGCAGCTGCTCTGGGGGCAGGGCTGGGGCGTGTCCCCTGGGTGCCACCACCCCAAACTGCTTTAAACATGGGAATAACGGCTGGGGGGGGGAGGCACCTCCCTGCCCTTCCTCAGCAACCACCGGGGTCACAGGGGTGGCCGGGGCAGCCAGAGCTGCGACTCGGGAAGGAAAGCGAGTGACATGGACAGATAGATCAGGCGTAGAACGTGTAAGATAACAGATAATATAGAAAATCAATATATAATATATATTGATATACTATATAATATGATATACAATATATAAGAATATATATTATTATGATTATATAGAATGTGTAAACTATAAAATGTGTTATTATGTTATGATATAATATATAACAGCCTGGCTCAGCTGTTCCGCAGCTTAAAAATGAGAGGATGAGAAGGCACAGGCCCAGCTCTCAGGATAAGCCAGGCTCAGGGACAGCTCCCAGGCGCCGCTGCTCCCCCCAGCAGAGTCCCGTTCACACGTGAGTAAAATAAGCTCAGACTTTTTTATTACATTAAGGAAAGGTAAAAAATCCAACCAGTAAAGTAAAAGGCAAATCCAACTCGTATGGGGCTGTACAGGTGTGAAGGAGGGACAGCCCCGTGAGAGACATTTTTAGCTTAAAATCAAACCGTGCCAGTACTCAGTACCCCGTGCCTCCCCCTGGGGAAGGGGCTGTGGGGAGGAGCCGGGGCCGGGACATGCAGCTTTGCGCACACAGAAACCGGTGTCTGGGCACGAGGCGGCCGGGGTTCATAAACCAGGTAAAAGCGCTGCGGGCGGGGGGCCCGGGTGGGTTCCTCAAGGTGGCGGGAGCTCCCGAGGGGCGTCCACCTCCTCTGCTCCCCCCCAGAGGTGCCGCAGCGCTGAGCTAAAACCCACCGAGGTCCTTAAGCGGAAGAATCGGAGTCGTCCTGCTCCTCGTCGTCTGAGGAGTTTGGTGCCTTGGCCGCGAAGAGCTTCCCCACGAGCGAGGCCTGGGCCCCCCCTGCAACCAGAGAGGGGAGGTCAGGGCCTGGCGGTGCCTGGGACAGGCCAAGCCCCTTCTGAGGGGCTTCGGCCTACAGCAGGGTCACCAGCCGCGGGCAGGAGGGGGACGAGCGCTCACCTGCCTCCAGCGGGCCGCGCGCGAGGCCGGCGTCCCCTGCACCTCCCCGCCCTGCCGGGGGAGAGAAAGGCCGGGCTTAGGCCGCTGCTGCACCCGGCCCAGGCTCAGCCTGCGGGGATCTGGGCCCCGTTCGAACCGCTCAGCTGCCGGAAATGCTTCCCTAGGTGGGAGCCGGCCGGGATCTCGGCCTCTCCCAGGAAAGCTGGAGCTACACGGCCTGGGGAGTAACGACAGCAGCACGGGGAGCGGCTGGGCCCGCAAGAGACTTCATTTCCACCGCGCAGAGCGCAGCGAGAACCTGATGTACCTAAAGATCAAAAGCGGTGCCAAATCCTGAAAAAATTAGTGTCTTCAATCCTGACAAGAAATAGCTCTTTTCTAACAGAAAAACCCTTCTCTGAGAGAAGTGGGGGACAGTTCCTGTTTTCCACCCCGCGATTCTCTTCCCGCGTTAAGAGGGGCCCAGGCCGCGCTCAGGGGAAGCAGCATTACCGACTTCATCTTGACCTTGTCCCAGGTGCCTCGGCTGCCCCGCATCTTCTGCAGCCTGCAGACGTGCCTGTCGTAGTCCTCCCTGCGGGGTGAGGGGACACGCAGGCCTTAGACCTTAATCTCAGCTCTAATTGAGAAGGACAATTAGCGCGGCCGTTAGAAAGGGACAGAACACCCCAGGAGTGGTCACTCGGGAGCGTAGTGCAAGGGTTGGAGGGAGGCTCTCCACCCCCCGGGTGACGTTAGGTTCCCCTCCCTCCACACAAGGCTGCGGGTTTCCAGCCGATTGCAGTTTATTTCAGGAAAAACTGAAGCAAGTGGGTTAACGAGCAGCAAATCCGCAGCTGCGGCCGAGTCGCTCCCTCCTCGAGCCGCCCGTCCTGCGGGGGCCGAGTCCCAGCCCCAGGCCTGAGTTCCCAAGAACTAACCCGGGGCGGGGGCTCGGGGGCGCGTTTCCTACCTGTTGATGGGCACCAGCATCCCGGGGCTGATGTGCTCGCACTGGGGGGTTTTCATGGTGGGGATGGTGGCCGAGGAGGGGGTGAGGGGGTTGTCCGTGAGCACAAAGTCATCGTCATCATCATCTCTGCTGTGCCGGAACATTGGCAACTGCAAGGCACACGGATTAGAGCAGTGGGGGACCTGCCCCAGGGAACACGAGTCTGGGGACGTCGGGCTGCTCAGGGGGAGAACAGAGCCCTGTCCCCTCCTCAGGCACTTCACTGCTGGTTTTGACACACAAACACACACACACATACACCCATACCCATCCCTCCCAATTTAGTCTGGAGAAGAGGAGGCTGAGGGGAGACCT